CAAAGAGGCGAAGATGTAGCTTAACCCTAAGGCGAATAAGGTGAGCCTAGAAAAGAGATAATATTCCATGACAACAGATACATTTACATAAATGAATATTCTTTGTGGACCCGGAAAGAAATCCGAAGGTTGAGGTTTGAGGGAAATAGTTAATGAATTCGATTCTATGATTCACTAGCCACGCTAGGAGAAAAGGTATCAGAATCGATTCTGGGTGACACTGTTTATTGATTGTCCCATGAGCTCTTGTGAAAATGAAAGTGTTCACAACACATACCGAAAGGAGACTTTTTAAGCCAACCTGCCCTGACCCATACGTTATGGGTTTGGCCACGTGCCCTTCCTGGCCAATTCATCTTCTGGGTTTCAAGAAGCGAGGGTGAAACTTCTAACGGAAAGCGTTAAGCTATGCCAATTGCAGTTTCACTGAAGGAAGTCCCTTTCCGGATAGATCCAATCGCGGGTGCGAAACCTCTCCTTATCTTATCTATCGGGTGAACGAAGCGAAGTTCAGTCATAGAAATTCGGAGAGAGGTAATTGACCTTAGGCATTTTATCGAAGACCTTATCTGCGCTTTTCTTGGGAGTTGTCCTGTGAGGGCTCTGAATTGTGGCAGCCCCATCATCATTCGCAGCTATCTCAACACCCTTAAGCGCAGCATGAAAGTGGGGTAAACCAGCACTACCATGGTGCAAGGGATCAGCCAACTTACCCTTATTCTTAAGCTTCGGGTTGTGCAGGTCGGCCTGTGCAGCAGCCTTCTTTGAGATCTGGCTAGGTACAGCCCCAATAGCTGCTACCTTTGAGGACTCACCACGATCGAAAGTAGACCTCTTAGCATTGTCCACCTTGGTTGTCCCTAGAGAATCCTCCGAGTCCGCAAAACCCTCGTCTCCATGGATAGATTCTGGTTCGCTGTCTGCACTATGTACGGATGGTGCATCCAGATCTGACTTGCTGCCTTCCAAGGAATCAGGAACGATGGAATTGTGCAGCGCAAGCTTGCGAAACTTGCTTTTCTTCTTCGATTTCGCCATGGTTGCGCAAATGCGAACGGGATTGCGAAACCCTAGAGGTTCGCAGATCGCAAAACCAGACCTGGGCGCTTCAGATCGCGACGGGAAACTGATCGCAAAGGGAATGGAGCAATCGGATTTCGTGAACAAAAACAAGAATGGAGATCAAGGTAGTGAAAGATCTAAGCTAGCAAGGTTTGAAGATGCTCGACTGAAAGGAGAGGAGGACTTGTGAGTCTCGACTGAAATCCGAGGGAAGGTTACATTGAGGAAGCGAAGCGAAGTTCATCTCATATAGCTGTAAAATATAGAAAGTCGATTTCTGCCCTAGGCTATCTTAGAAATTTCAAAAGTGTCGTTTTATATAGCTGTGAAAAGTGAGTAATGAGAATCAGTCTCATTATATATGTCATTCTGGTTTCTCCCGTACAAACGAAGCAGCAAGAAAACGGATGCGCTAACGCGCAACGGCTTTCGCGCGTCTTGCTCAATCCCTTGCTTGTTTGAAGGAAAAGTGTAATTGACTCTCTGGAGTGCCTTTTCAGGCAGCAGCGGAAAGAGATAATTCCCTATACAATGAGGGTAGGAAATCGATCGTAGACATGGAAAGGAATGATCAAGTTTGACCGGGACTTTCAATTGCTAAACATCATTGGATAAAAGGACAGCGAAGACTACGCTAGGGTTCGGAGATTCGGGTAAAAAAAGAGAAAATAAGAAGCTTCGCTTCGTTTTTAGAGTCTCGCTTTGCTCTCCTTGTGGCCAAGCAGATACTCCCCTTAGGACGTAGGTCCGGTTGGTTATTCGTATCACTGTACCTCAAGCAGTGTGCCGTAGCCCTCATGGTCTACAGGGGTTCTGATGCCCCAACCCGTAGGTCTGAGCTGTCTGTTCCAGTCCGGTTAACCAGATCAGGTCTCCCTTAGATAATACCGCGCTTTTCATAGGCGTGCTATCAGGGAGGTTCTATGACTGAACTTCGCCAATACTTTTGACTTTACTGCGCTTCGCTTCTAAAGTTGGGGAGAGGTAATTGACCTTTTATTCATAGAAATTTTCCTTTCCCGAGAGATCGCTATTAAATAGAAAACATAGAATACACCCGACATTGCAACCTCCTGCCCGATGGCAGCCTTGGGCTACTGTCACAAAGCTCCTCTGATTCGCTAATAGACAGGCTTCGTCATTTCCGCCGCTGGATTAGGATCTGGCTGCAGACCTGCAATTAGCACACTATGGTCAGACGGACCAGGCCCAGGAGCTGGTGGTATGGAAGACCCACTTCCTACGCTCGGGTTACACTGAGTGTATGCCTGGTGACGCTCGTCTATTAATAATAATCCAATCGAAATGAATAGCTTAGCTAGAGCCAGACGCACTAATAATTCGATAAGTATATGGACCAGAGGAAGGACTCTTTTTGGCAACTTCTTAAGAAGGGGAGATGAATGCAAAAGATGAGTGAATTTCCAATAGAAAACAACGGCTTGAAATGAACTGAAGATATGCGAGTTGGGACCACATACGTAACGTTGTAGAATTCAAAGAAAGAGTGAATAATGACCAGGAAGACAACCCACCACTGGAACTTGCTTTGCTCCCGCCGCTCCCGCCTGTCTTCTTCCAACCATAGTGAACTTGAAGAAAGATCCTTCATTTCACTACAGTTGGCACCTCACTGACCTTCTCGGGCAGTTACTCTAAGCTGGCGCCAGCTTTACCTTTCTCCGTCCTGCCGCCTAACCCCCCCGTCTTACCGCGGCTGCTGGCACAGCCTAGTCTCGCGCGTTGACTTGGGGATTCCCCAATTCTCTCAGTTCGCCAATGAACTTGTTCCAAATGGAACAGCGAGCCTTCCCGAAGTTGTAATTTAGTCTACGGAAATGCGGCAGACGCGTTCGTGCTGCCAGTCGTCATAGAGAGCCGCGTCGAGTGCACGCTTAACATCCTTTGGATCTTTGAGAGTGATCCCTTTCTGATGCAAGATATTGTGGGCTTTGTCTCTCATGGCCGCTTCTTCGTTTTCGCAAGCCTCCACGATAGTCTCCACAGTGCTATATCCCTAATCCCTAGCCTCCTTCTCTTGGGCATCGAGGTTCTAGATATCTCTTGAAGCTCCGCCGGGTTGGGAATAGGGGGTAGAGGCGAGGTATAAAATCCTCAGCCTGAGCCTTGATCGATGCTATTGATCAAACCCAATCTGCAGTAAGCGAGGCTATTGAATGGAAGGAGTGAACCCGCCCTGAAGAAGTTAGCTCTGAAGGCAGAACTCTTGGATTCGGAATGGGAGCTGCACGTTAGCACTTTACTTTATGATTTGACTTT